AGCTAACAAGGTGGAGGAGAGTCCTCTCCTGTCAGACTGAGAGACTGATACTACAGCTCAGGTGAGGTAAAGGAATCTTGAGTGTTTAGATAGTTAACTTAGTCTAAGTTCTCTGTGGGTCTTAAACTGTTTGGTCACCTTATGTAAACACATATCTCCATTTGAAGGGGGAGTGATTAGTAAAATATGGATGAATAATAAAAAAAAAATGTTAACTAGGTGAAAAAAGGTAAGGTAAACTTTAAAAACTTGTTGAGAGCTAAAACTAGTCATTGCTGCTGCCTCAAAGAGTAGCAGGGGGAGATGGGTGAGGCTGGTCCAGGAGCACAGACACACTCACAACTATAAATGAACAATACATCAAAAACAAATACATAAACAAGTTTCAATGTGTTTTCATATTGGATATGGTATGTTATTGGTTATGGCCATGTTCTTATGATTTTATGATTATTGAAATGTATACAGTTATGTTTCATATGGGTGTACTCTCTTTATTTCCCCCTCAAAGTGCACCAGATTGATGCATTTAAGTCCAACATTTAAAAAAAAATCCAGTGGCCTGGGGGGGTGTATAATTCCCGGCCTGACTTATTGTCCCAGTCCGGCCCTGCCTACGGACGACCCATTACGACACACATCACAGTATTACAGTATTACAGTATGGTTTTAAAGTGCTGTATACATTTCCCGCCTAAGGATAATATTCCCACAATGCAGCATAATGTACAGTATTACAATATATATAATATAACTCGGGTTGGGCCCTAAACTGACGAACTTCTCATCTCAGGACATTAGACACAGATTGTTCTCTCCAGAAAGCTAAACGCAAAGGTAGCTGGCTTAAAACTGGTTCCTACTGAAAAAAGATCCAATCGGTATCAGGGTAGGAATTTCACGGCTGCCCCTTGGTCTGGCCGTGATGCCCCGAAAATAATTGTAGGGGAGAGTGGAGTAAGTTGAGCTATTTTTTTAGTTATGCTGTCCTCTAAGCAAGGAGAAATGACACATAGTAAAAATGAAAACACACACCTATAATTCAGGATGTCTCCTATCAATGGCAATGATAATAATTAATATTTGATCAAGGGAAGTGAAAATATTACTTCTAAAAAAAAAAAGTCTTGTGGCTCAACTTGCCCCAGTGTAGGGGTAAGGTCAGGGGGGTAAATTCAACTTGAAATGTAGCCTACAATGAGCTCTTATTATCAACTTGGCCTACTTTCATTAATTTCTCCATTTAAAAACTGGCTCAACTTAGGCCCATGGTTCACTTTACCACCATTTTAGAAAAAATAGCCTAGCTTTAACATTCAGAGTAATCTTTAGCTTAATGATTCACATGGTTTAATACGCTAACAACACATCAACATGTGTTTAAACCTGGATACATTTTTTTTGACATGACAGCCGATATAGCTGACATCTAGAACATTTATTTTGACAAGCAAAAAACTTTTTTTGTAAAAATGTTTACTTACCAGACCACAATGAGCATCTCTCTTTCATAGGCAATGAGAAATGGGAGGAGCTTGCATAATTTCTGGTCACTTGATTACAACTATAAGGCGTTGCCTGGTTACAGGGGATGGTTCAATTTACCCACTGGCTCAACTTACCCCCTTCTCCCCTACGTCCTCCGGCCACCATGGCCTTTGTGCCCCTCACATTGTTAAAATCTCGAAGTTGCTTTAAAAGCATCAGAGCAGTGGTCTGGTCTCTGAACTGCATTATGCTGCGTTCACATTGCTCTAATCCAGTGGTCGCCAACCAGTCGATCGAGAGTAGATCGCGGACCATTAAAAAAAAAAAAAAAAAAGTAACAAAAGAGAAATAAAATAAAAATAATAGGGCTGTCAAGCACGCGTTAACGCAAAAAAAAAATTAACGCCACTAATTATTTTAACGCGATTAACGCATGTGTTTTTTTTTTCCTCGGCCGCCCCGTAGTTTCAGAGCGCATCGAGTTTAAAATACATTCTACAAGCTGATGCTGACAGCCCCGCTCCTGCCGCCCGCTTGTGGCAGACCACACTTCCACGCTCACCGGCAGGCACCGACTGGCTGTTGGGAGGACCGGGAGGGTCTGTGTATATGTGGCACGAGCGAGCGAGAGAGAGACCTAACGTGCATTGTTGTTGTTAGCATCTGGTGCTAGCTAGCTGCGCTAACGGATAGAAGGAGCTGTTTAAATGAAAACAGAGGAGCGACATTTCGCCACAACTGCGCCGAGCACTTGACTTTATGCAGGAAGCCAGACAGTGGGACATTGTACGAAAAGTCAGCACACTCAGCACGGATAGTGCGCAACATGATTGCAGCGTCCAGGCAGCTCCCGTTCGAGCATATGCCTTGAGTTGCACATAGCTCCAACGATCCATCACACACATACACACACACACACACACACACACACACACACACACACACACACACACACACACACACACACACACACACACACACACACACACACACACACACACACACACACACACACACACACACACACACCATTTGTATTGTATTATTGTATGAGAGAGGTTCCAGGTTGAATTGAGGCGAATATTTGTAATGTTCAGAGGTTTTTGTGTTTAATATTCATGAGAATATTTGTCATTGTTCAAATGATAATAACATTTGCATAAAGCATATTTGTCCACTCATATGTTGATAACAGTATTAAAAACTAACTTGCAAAATATTCCTCTAAGGTGCATTTAGAACAGATAAAAAATGTGGGATTAATTTGCGATTAATCGCGATTAACTATGGACAATCATGCGATTAATCGCGATTAAATATTTTAATCGACTGACAGCCCTAAAAAATAATAAGTTTTTAGATGTAAACCTATCATCCACCATCCCGTTAGCAGGTGCCACTTGATTGACGTATATTTGAGACACCTCAATAATATAATACATTAACCGTGCTTTATTGAACCTCATCATGACACAAGAGAGGACGGTAGGACTGCAATTTCCCGTGTTCAGTGAATGCAACAGAAGCAAGTCACCAGACCAATCAGAGAGTTGCATGGAAATACACGTGTGCTTGTGTCATTCAAGCTCGGCTCTGTGTGTGTGTGGCAATAGCGCATTTAGTGTGATAGAGAGGGAGAGAGAGAGAGAGGGACCGGTGCTAGCGGGGACCGTGATGTTAGCATCTGGTTAGCTTGCTGCACTAACGGACATAAGGAGCTGTTTCCACAACAAGCTGGAGGAGAGTCCTCCCCTGTCAGACTGAGGGGCTCAGGTGAGCAAAGGACTCACTGAGTGTTTAGAACGGTTTTGTAACACATTATTCAAAAGATTATTTCCGCGGCACACCTTCATATGATCATTATAGTTATACAAACAATAAGAGAATAAATGAAAAACAGGCAGTAAAACAAGAATACAGTTTAAAAGGGGAGTGATTTGTAAAATATCCATAAAGAAAAAGAAAATCTGTTTACAGTTCTGTTTCATATGGGTGCTGAGAGATGTAGGCTATCCATAGATCTCTTCATGTTGCTCTCAAAGTGCACCAGATTGATGCTTTCAACTTCAATATTTTAAAAAAATCTTCCCGGGGGAGCATCCCCCCCAACTTATAAAAAATAGCACTTTACCCCTGCCTATATGCCGTGAGCTGATTATGGAACCTTCATTGTAACAGTAATTCAGATGCAATTAGCCTATATAAAAGGCCTCAAATTGGAAGCACTGTCTGGGCCGTCTTTTTCACTCAATTCTGCAATAGGTCAGTGATCTTGGGCTTAAAAAGGTTGGTGACCACTGCTCTAATCGCTGGAGTTTCACCGCGGCTGTCAGCTGTGTTTACTCCTGTCATTCAAACAGGACGCGCTGGAGAGGCTTATATCCATGTAAATACTGTGGTAGAAATCAACTACAACAACATTAACATATTTTACCGTGATTTAATTGTAATACACGTTTCAAAATGATGCCAAAGTAACAAAATACTGATAACAGTTAGTAAAAATCATGAATTAATGCTTTGAGAAGTGTACAGACAAGACGGCAGGCGAAAAACCTTTTAAAACGAGAACGCGTCAGGCAAATTTGACACTCGAGTTGAAAACATTTATTAAAGAAACACACACACAGACTTTTGCATTTCAAAGTATTTCTTGTTCATACAGTTGAATGTTGGAGCTTCACTGTGCACTGCTGAATGATGTATGTGCAGAGTTTGACCCTTGAAGGCTGTTTCTTCTGCTCTGAAATTGAATATATTTGTTACATATTAATAGAATTTTAAATGTTTTGATTCGATTTCGGATTTGTGAATGGGAGAAGTAGTAGATGGAAAACATACCAAACACACATTATTCAAAGTAGAGTTTTCATTTTATATACGGTATTACCAGTGGCGGCAGGCCCATAGGGGCGCCGCCCCACCTCTTCCCACATACAAAATAAAAAAAAAATATATATTTAAAAAAATATTTTGTAATTTATTTTTAATAAAGAAGGTAAATATTATATAATTGGTATCAGTCAAATGTATAATCGACAATAAAGTCTCGTTTAAAATTGTGTTACGACGATGTCTAAAGTTACTGATAAGTCACATGTTTCCTGCCTGGCCTTGCCCATGTGTCATTACCTTTATATATACAGTCTATGGTCATTACCCTCTCTCGTCTGGGCGGTAAGAAAGGAGCCCTCAACCAATGCAGCAGCAGCCACTAGCAGCTGACTGTTGCTATCTGTAAACTATGATGCCGAAACATAATTTCGTCAAATCTGATGATGTGAGTAGTTTGGACACTAGTGACTCGTATCCGGTGGGGTGACGCAGTACGGCAGTAGTTGATGAGGATGGCTTCATGTGCAGGTGGAGTCTCCGGACTTCGGTCCCCGCCCAATTCCGTTCAAGAGCTAATCTCCAATCCTTTCGAAAGGAGAAGTTTGGGAGATAAACTGTTGCTTAAAGACCTTGGACCGGACCAACCCGATTTGTATATATCGCAGCAAGCTCGTGAAAAAGACAAAACGTATCAACGAGGCTTCTCACGTAGCTGGTACACCAGAAAGGCATGGCTAGCTGGATGCAAACAGGTAAATGCTGTCTTTTGTTTTAGTAGAGGACCTGGGTTAGATATGTATGCACTTAATTTAGGAGAGAATATCTCAATTGTTCTAGACTAATATGACCCCACTGAACATCTTGGGATGTGTGCCAAAATCTCTATCCGGGACGAAAAGCCCCAAAATTACCACGCCCTTTTTTAAATGACCACGCCCCTTTTCATCGGAAGTGCTACTTCCGATATAGCTGTATCTTCTAAACCGTTTGAGCTACAGATTTTCTGAGGTGCTCAAAATGTTCAGAATGGCCATATCTAAGGGGAGGGGGGTATTAGACATTTCTAATTTGATATTTTACGAGAACATTCGGTCCACTTATTACCATACAACTACCCAAGTACTGGAAATTGAGTTATCCTCTCATGAATTATGTGCATACATGCCTATCTTAACTTAGGTCTTCTACTAATTAATATAACCATTGAATTATAAACTAACAAGACTGCTTTTGAGGTCCTCAAAATGTTCATATTTTACTAGAAATGGCTAAAAACCGTTAATAGGTCAACTTACATACAACTACCTATACACACTGGAATGGCCATTATATTTATTAATTTAAACTTTCTAGACTTAGAGCAAAGTTAGAACATTTGTGTCATGTAGAGAGCTTAAATAAATTACCCAACAGCCAACAATACTTATTTAACACCACATTAGTACTGTTTATGTGTCACGTAAACCAGGGTGAGGAACATGAAGAGTAAGACAACAGAGTCCAGGTCCCCGTATGAGGATGATGAGCAGTGCTCATTCAGTGATAGGGTTTTTACAACAATCACCTCCCTTGCATTTGCAGTACTTGCAACACTTGATCCCAGCTATCCTGCAGGGACACCCATTATTGCGAGCACACTTGCCACATGTGCAGGGATCTGGCAGGCCTTCGGGTTTTGAGATCACAAACTCAGGGACTAATGAACTACCCAATCTTACAAAACCATAATTCTCGGCATTCATAATCGAGGTGGCGTCTATAAATGGGGCTTGGACCCACAGCTCATCTGCAGTCCAAACCTATATCCTGTCAGCTCCTGCGCCAGCTCAGTTGCAACCTGTTGGACAGGTGAAACTCGCAGGGACTCTACCAAGGCCTCTATAGAACTGTTGGTACAAAGTACCATCTGGGATATTCGTTTGTTACTTGGGTATGTAAAACAGACGGCGTCTCCATACATCTCGATGATCAGCTGCTTTACAGTTCTGTTTGACATTATTCCAGCTGAACCTTCATTTAGCCTGTCTCTGATGGAAGTCAGACTGTGTGCTGACCTACTAAAGTCAATCCCAAGGGCTAAAAATCTAGCCTTGAAGGAGTTGTTTCCGGCTGTTACCGACTCCTCCATTTCGAGGTTTTTCAGTATTTCCTCAATTTTAGCATGATATTTATTGAAATAGACTTTACAACATTGGTCGTGATATCGGATATCAGCCGCAAAAACATCATCTAGCTTACACATTGCCGCTGTTTCAGTGTACACATGGTCCTTGAACAACATGGCCGCATTTAGTAGTTTTTGGGCCATGGGCCTTTCACAGATTCTGAACAATGTGTGTATTTTCTTCTGTTTAAATGTCTTGCAATCCGAACCACAAAAGATACAGACATTTGTAGTTACACTGGACTTAAATCGCTTGCTGTGTCGCTCAGATGTATCATTAATAGGCCCCTGCTGAGATGGTTCTGATTGTTCTATTGGTTGGGTTATGCTGTCAGTCTTAGCCATATTCCTTTGAAAACTTCTGTAGCAAGATGAGGTGTGGTATTTCATGATACCCTGCTCTTGCACGGTCAGTCGAAGAACCCTAGCAGCTCGAGTGTCATTACTCTCTGTTTGTTTGGCAAGCGAAACAATATAACCCCTGCCGATTTCACCACTAGAGAGGTACTCAGATCGGTTCTTCTTCTGGCATAGGATGTACTCCTCGAGATCGATCGGCTTGATCGGTTTAGGTGTAGCAGAAGGAGCAGCGAGCGGTACCACATCCTGAAAATAAAAGAAACATGTTTAAAATTATTGATGACATGGGTTATCAGTATCACCATACAATATACTACTTGGCATACCCACAGAAAGAAGAGGTAGGTAAATAAAAAAATTAAAGCTTGTCTTACCATTTCGCTGTACTTCAGTGAGATATTATCTCTGTTAAACTGGATGGATAAGTCTTTCTCTCATACTCTCTCCAGCTTTTAGCACTGGTGCTATGAATAAACAAAAAGCAGTTAGTTTTATATAATTCAATGGTTATATTAATTAGTAGAAGACCTAAGTTAAGATAGGCATGTATGCACATAATTCATGAGAGGATAACTCAATTTCCAGTACTTGGGTAGTTGTATGGTAATAAGTGGACCGAATGTTCTCGTAAACAATCAAATTAGAAATTTCTAATACCCCCCTCCCCCTAGATATGGCCATTCTGAACATTTTGAGCACCTCAGAAAATCTGTAGCTCAAACGGTTTAGAAGATACAGCTATATTGGAAGTAGCACTTCCGATGAAAAGGGGCGTGGTCATTTAAAAAAGTGGTAATTTTGGGGCTTTTCGTCCCAGATAGAGATTTTGGCACACATCCCAAGTTGTTCAGTGGGGTCATATTAGTCTAGAACAATTGAGATATTCTCTCCTAAATTAAGTGCATACATATCTAACCCAGGTCCTAGACTATTTCCCATGCTTGCTCTTCAAACAGCCGGGGACAGATACGATCTGTTCAGAAGTACAAACCACAGACTGTCTGTGTCATGGCGAATACAGTCGCTGGTTTATTTATGTCTGCATAGGCCGTTGTTGTGAGTGTGGACGGTCGGAGCATTTACAACGTTAGCTTAGCCAATCTCCATATAGAAAACACGCATTTTAAAAGGTTTTTTGCCTGCCGTCTGTCTGCAGGCTTGTCAAAGCATTAATTCATGGTTTTTACTATTCGGTATCAGTATGTTGTTACTTCGGCATCATTTTGAAACGTGTATTACAATTAAATCACGGTCAAATATGTTCATCTTGTTGTAGTTGTAGCCCCCTTGCCAGCGATTCTCTCTCTAGTTTAGCATACTCACCCCGACTCAGCCTAGTTGTTCCTGGCCCTAGAACCACGATTTTATGGGGCAAGAAAAACTGTGAATTAGGACCCGCTAGCCGGTACTAGGCCAAGTGGAAATGCAACCAAAAACGGGCCCCGCACGGCTCGGTACGCTTAAAGCGAGCTCCGCGCTGCAGTGGAAACGCGTCATTACATCACCAGAAGTCCTAATTTAAGTGGTCATTTCTCCCAAAAAGAATTGTTTTACTCACTATATCAACAGCCCCACCAAAAATATTTTCCACCAGCCGCCACTGGGTATTACTAAGGAGGCATATGCCTGTAAGATGATATAATGTTTGACATTATTGATATTAAAAAAGTGGTGTGTTTTTCTTATCAGAAAGTGAAGTTATTTATTTGTAAGCTCCAAATCCTAATTTTTCCCTCAATGGCCTTGACCCTAAAATGACGAAATTCCAAGCCTGGTGAGTATATAAACAAAACTTATACCTCCTTGAACTTTAATTGACTTGATTGATTGTTGAAATGATTACAAGTAGTTTCTAAGGTAAAATGGGTAATTATCTGACATAATAAGGCTTCACAAATGTTCATGAATGTGAATCAGGTTAAGGAAATTAGTATTCCTATATCACCAAGAGTTACATTCTATGGAAGCCCATATGGGATTTATTCAAACGATAATGTCAATTTGAGGAAGGAAAATGTAATTCCATGACAGGATGAGGATTTTCCACATAGGTGCTATTTTAGTAAAAATGCAATTATGGTTTGCATACCTATTTTCCATAATCGATGGACGCTCTATGATCATATTACATTAGAAAAAGCTGGACAATATTCAAATATTACATTTAAATTTAAATATGCAATTAAAATGAATGTAATCCTAATAGTCCAAGTATTGTTGTTGTTTTTCCCTTGGTTTTTCAGTTGCAAATCTCAATCAGGAAAACTGAATTTCAAAGCTAAATAATATTCGCTATGAGAGCAAATATTTATTATTTATAGCACTGATACATTTATACAAATATTTTAAGCTAAAATAAGTGACACCAAGAAGATTCTTCATGTAAAAGTGAGTGGACAGAAGTCAGGAAGCGAGGTGAAAACCAAAAAATAATAAAGCAAAAAAGGGCCGAGGATCAGAGTGGGAAATAGGAAGAAGGGTCTCCTATTGGGGACAGTAGACCAAAGAAAACATAGAGGATGATGATCACGGTCAAAGACGAGCAGAGGATGATGGATGGGGGCTGTGGTAGGCCTCCAGTGAGAGCAACAGTCTGATGGAGCATGGAAAGGCAAAGGCAGAAAATAGGGAAAGTTGTCTTTTGTGACCCTTTATCAATGGCTTCAACATTGGCCGTCTCCTTGTGGACACTGGAAGGACAAACACTATTTGACGTTATATATTGCCTGTGGACAGAGGCTAATAGTGTGTTTGATTTGAAAAGAGAAAAACATTGCCTTGCCTGATATTTCATTTTAACTACATTTTAGGGACAAGACTTATGATTACCAGCAGAATCCACTTAAGTAATTGGATAACCAGACTGAATAGAGGCATGAAACACTTAAACCACAGCTCTGACAGCTGCAGGGTGATGATTTTCAAATAAACACTTCAAAGAAGATGACTATGAACAATCGTGAGTCAAACATGAGGGTATCTCTTTTACAGAAATATGTCAAGGAAATGTTGAAGTGGGATTCGGAGATGCTTCTCCTTTTGCTCTGCCTTTTATCTGCTATACTCTCTTTCCCACACCTGAGAAAAAGAACAATCTAGATTGTGAGAAAACATTAAAGCTCCAACCCTCAGGACAAACCCCTGCTGGGTACACCTGTCAATCAAAACCTCTCCCGGTGCAACTCGCTGAAGGATACATTTATGTTTGCAGATGACATCAGCGATAGAACGATCGCCCATTTATCTTCAGGCTCTGCTAAAAATGACCAACAAGGCAATTCTCAGTGTATTTGGGATATGGTAGCATTGATCCTTGTCAAGATGAGACACAGTGACAAAGGCAAGGCTGAGAAAAACAGGCAGGATTGGTCTTTTAAACAGGAATTTTTCAGAGACTTCTTTTGTAGAGGTTATTGTGTGACGAAAACTGTCCTCTGTAAGATTGACCTTAGTTGTACTGAAAATTATTCTTGTATAAAACTATCCATGTATATAATCTTATTTAAAGATCTGCTATCATGCTATTTTTAGGCATATATTATGGGTCCCAGATATCTAAAAATATATAAAAAATGTCTGTGTTTTGCTCAAAATACCAAACAGATCATGCATTTTAGACGTCCCTCATATCCCTCTATTTCAGCCCTGTTAGAGAAGTGCTGATTCTGGGTCAGTAGTTGCTGGCCCCGCCCCCTTTTGAGCACGCCAAGGCAAGCAGTGAGGTTTCCTCTCTGCCTGCAGTTACTCAGCTAAATGCTGCAGTGATTACAGGCCATATCATGTTCCAAACCACTTCAAGGATTATTTCTGAAACAGTATGGAGCTCAAATGCCTTTTTTCTTGCGGGTTTACTACAAGGTGAGTTCCTTTTTTTTAATTTCCTGCTTTTTTACACATACTCTCTCCAGTACAGGTTAGCTCTGAGTGTTAGCGATGCTTGCTAATGTAAAAGATGACCATATTACGCACAAAAACATGTAGCGCATTGTTTCTGATAGCGACGTTTCTGATAGGGCCGTGGGTGTAAATACAGCCCACATTTCCGATATTACGTCATATCGGCAGCAAATCTGGATCAGCTCCGTTGTACCCCCGTTTTTAGAGATGTGGGTACGGGGAGTTCCCTGACACACTGGGGGGGAAATACATCAAAAATATGTTATTTTTGTTTTAATAAGGTATCACAAAAACCAGTGAAAATAGTTAAATGCGGTTCATCATAAGCTTTAAGGAGCTTTCTAGCTAGTTATATGGGTCACAACTCTGTTTTAGATTTTTTAATTCCTCTTGAGTGTAAAGAGCTTTAGTGGTCGCAAATACTGGTTGAAGCGCTATATAAATATATTCCATTTACCATTCCAATTATTTTCAATGGCTCTCATTGAAAATAATTGGAATGGTAAATGGAATATATTGATATAGCGCTTCAACCAGTATTTGCGACCACTAAAGCTCTTTACACTCAAACGTTACTATATACACCTCATTCATACAGAGCAATGTGCCACTTGCTTCAGAAACAGCTAACATTCACACACCGTTGGCTAAAGATTTGGGAGCAACTTGTAGTTAAAGGACTTCATCAGTTGGCCAGCAACACAACTGTAACAGAATGTTGTGCCATAAGCTAGTACATTTAAGCTTACCATTCCGCTCTCTATAAGTAAAAATATATTTTAAGGAAAAGCCCAGATTTTTGCATGATATGGGGTTTTCCTAGAAAAATATAGTATGAGGGTGCTGATCTTGTATATAAGATTATATCAATTCTCAAAAGAATTACAAGATGGGGCTGCCGACGTAGACAACAAAGCAACGTCGGAGCTCCCTGAAAACAAAGCTGTCTATGCTGTCTGATGGTCTATTTGACACGACTTTCATATTTGTTTTCACAGTTTTTGACAAAAATAAATATTGTTTTCTGGCATCACTTTAACATTTTAGAGGGACAAATCAGCATTTTGGTATGAGGGCGCAGCACCCCTGTTACAGAGTTGAGACAAAACCCTGCAATTATGCATTTGGTATTGAGACCAAATTCTCTGACATTCCCTTAACAATATGCTGCAGGTTGCTATGAAACCCTGAATACTGTTGCCATGACCACTTTCCCAGATGCCGCTGCTTTCTTGGTAGATCCCATCTTTACCAGCCTACTTGGATCCGTTTCTCGCTGCGTTTTCCCTCGGTGATGTGAACGATTCCAGCCTTGGCAACTATACACATTTGCACTAAATCAGTCAATTAGGGCAAGTCCTCCTCTTATGGCAGACAGGCAGCTCCTCACCTACAGGACCTTACATGGCTGTGATCCAGCCAGTCCCATCTGTCTGAGCTCCGACCTTAACTCATATTTCCTGATTTGCCATTTGCCTCCTCTCTATGGCCTCCCAATGCTTCTGATTTTGAACACTTCCCTAAAAACAAATGCACATATTTAAGATCAGAGTTTATTTGAGCAGATAATGGACATTTTGTAGCATGTGGTGCAAC